CGCGTCCCCGCCCGGGGCCACCCCGAAGGACCTGGGGCTCCCGCGCGCGGCGGCCGGCGGCGTTTGGCCCAGCGTGGGAGCCGTAGCGCCGTCCCTCTGCGGCCACCGTAGGACTTCCCTCACGCCCCTCCGCCCGGGCCGACACCGAGAGCGCCTCCCTGCCTCCGGCCGCGGGCCGACTCTCAGACCCGGAACTCGACGCTTCCGCAGGGCGTGCGCGCGTGCGTGCGTGCGGCCCGTGGCGCTGCCGCCCGGCGTCACCGCCCCCGTACGGGCGTCGTCGCCTCGGCCTGTCCTGCGCAGGCGCAGATAGTGGGCCTGCGCGCGCGGGGGGTGGGGGTGGTCCCCGGGTACCTCTTCCGCGCACGCGCCGCTGCCCGAGGCTGTTGGCAGTGCGCAGGCGCGCGCCTCTGTGGGCGGGGCTGCGAGCTGGGCAGTTGCTCTGGTGCTTGGAGTGGGTTTTCCCCGTAGCGCTGGACCGCCCGCTGACCTGCTAGTCTGCGACCCGGGCTCTGCCACTGGGGGTTGGGGTGGCGCAGGGGGCCGGAACCCGAGGGGGCCGGCAGGGGTGGGTGTGGCGGGATCGAGCTGGGGCGGGCTGGCCGAACCATCCAGGGACACGTGTCCCCGGATGCAGGGAGTCGGGGCGGGCTGGCTGGACATCCGCAGGGCCCTGGGGTTGTCCTTTCCCAGGAGAATGAGGATTTCAATGCAGACGTATTTTAATGTTTTAATCCAGCAGGGGTGTCAGGATAGGGGAAACACCTGGTGTTCCTGGGATGCAGCTGGCGAGTTCCATCTGCCTGAGTTCGATGCATTTGAGAGAATCTGCAAGTTCGTGCACCTGGAAGTGGCTGGCTGTACCCCGGGTGGCTGAGGGGTTCTGGTCTTGGTTGTCGTTTTTGTTACTGGACACTCTAATTGAGGCCAGCTCTCCAGGCACCCTTCACAGAAGACAGCAGGGCGTCACCCTCCTCCTGACTGACCGCCAGGACCGCCGGCCTCTCGACCCAGGCGGGGGAGCTCCTGACTGCCCCCACGTCACCTCGCCCCACAAGCCCTAACCCCAGCCGCCCCACACCCAATCCCTGTCGTGTAGGAAGGGCCCAGTGCTTGGTGGCCCGCCTGCTCCTGGCCCTCCTGCCGTTGCCCTGCTGGTGAGGAGGGCCTGGCAGGGTCTGGATGGAGAGGGGAGGGGCGGGCGGGAAGACCTGAGGACCAGAGAGTTTGAAAAGTTTCCAGAGCAGCTGTGGAGCTGCAGCAGGAGAAGATGGGAGAGAAGGGGGATGTTTTAAGAAGTGTTTCTTTAAATGCATCTCCTCTGGGCTGGTCTCTGGCCCTCTGGTCTGCACCCTGCCCCAGGGTGGAGGTTTTCTTCTTCAGCCCCTGTCAAGCCCTCTCCCTTTGGGATGCCCCATGCAGCCCCCCTCCTTGGCTCTGTGAGGAGGCCCCATTGTTCTCCTTCACGACTGACTTGTCCCTTCACATTTGCTTTTTCTGTCCCTCTGCCCCTCCTCCATACACCAAGCTCCTGCTCACCCTTCAAGACCCCAATCAAATATTCCTTCCTCTGGGAAGCCGCCTCCAACCATGCGCCACCCCTTCCCTGGTGCCCACTATCCCTCTCAAGTGGGGGGGTTCTGACTGCCTGACCACCGCCAGGCCAGGAGCCCAGAGGACCAGGACGGGGCTGTGTCCTCACAGCCAGCTCAGGGGCAGGGCCGGGGGAGGCCCCTTACACGTGCTGTGTTTGTTCCCTGGTGTGGGGGTCCAGCAGGGGTGCCCATCTCAGTCTCCAGCCTCTCGGGCCTCCCCCTCCCGGGTCAGCCCCAGGCCTCCCCCAGGACGTCCGAGCTGCGGCGGTGACCTGGCGCCACCTGCTGGGGTGGTGCACGTGGTGCCGCAGAGCTGGCTGCCTGGATGCTGCATGAGGGACCTGAGCGGGGCTCTCAGTCCATCTGAGGCTTCAGGGTAGGGCCGCAGACTGGGGCACCCCCCGGCCAAATCCAGCCCACTCCCTGCTTGGCTGTGGCTGCTTCTGAGCCACTGCGGCTGAGCTGGGTAGCCCGGTGACAGAGACCCAATGGCTTGCAAACCGGAAAACCTCTCCTCTCTGGCCTGTACAGGAAGTTCGTGGACCCCCGCTTTAAACAAACATTTATCCTCATGCATCTGGCACAGGGAGAGGCTAGGCGAATTCTGCTGAGTGATTTGAAAGAGCTGAGGCAGCACAGCGGACGGCCCGCCGGGTTGGGGATGGTTTCAGCCCCCAACCCCCCTCCACTTAGGGGGAGGATCCCGTCACTTTAGGGGGCGACTCCAGGACAGTAGAGGATGAGTGAGCAGGGTCCTGACCTCTGACATCAGGCCACCCTGCAGGCTTGGCCCTACAGCGACCCGCAGTCCTCATAAACGGCCCTGCGCCAGCAAGAGATGGACTCAAGTGCCCCCTCGGCTCTGGGCTGCCTTAGGAACTGGCCTGAGGCCCAAGGGCTGCCATGAGATCTGGGGCAGGGTCAGAAGAAGCTGTGCAGTTTCTGCCTCGGCCCCCTGGACGCTCCCTCGAAGCACTCAGCTGCCACGCTGCGAGTCTCTGGGCCATGTGGCGGGCACATGGGAGAGGCCATGGCGGGGGCTCTAGTGCATGGCCCAGCGGTGCCCAGCCTTCGGGTGCATGGTGCAAGCGTCCCACCTGTGGGTCTAGAAGCCTCTGGGCGATTTTGGCCACAGCCCTCTGGGTCACCCCCCAATTTGTCTTCCCAGCTGAGCCCCAGACAGCACAGAGCAGAGAGGGCCTGTCTGGTCGCTGTCCAGATCCCTGCCCCACAGACTCTGAGCATAACAAAATGGCTGCTGTTTTACAGAGGTTGGGGTTCTTTCTTTACATGCCCAAATGGGTTGAGTGGAACAACATGTCATTTCAAATCCTTATAACGACCTTCAAGGTAAAGAGTCTTGCCTCCACTTTACAGATGAGGAAAGAGATTTTTGATCAAGTCAGGCCTGACTCCAAAACCCAGGATGAATCCGCCACCCACAGATGGCTAATAAGTGTCACTCGTCCTGAGCCGCCCCCCACAGACTCCCTGCAGACATCACTCATGGATTTGGCAATCTGGGACAGACATCACTAGTTGATCCAGCACTCTGGTGGTCTCACCAATGGCCGTTTCCCTGCTGGTCCTTGGTTACAGAATTCCAGCCTACTTGGGGTGGCAGTGTGCCCTGAGAACAGATCACAGCATCTTCCTTCCCCATTGTGATTCCTCCTTTACCTCCGTAAACCCGGAGAGGATGCCTTTCTCCTCAGGGCAGACCCTGGCCAGGGTCCTGGGGCCGCCTGCTGGTGTGTCACAGGGCCAGCCGGGCCCGCAGAGGTCACTGCAGAAGCAATGGACGGCATTTATGGAGGGCAGGACAGTGGAGCGGCCGAGAGCCTGTGCTGCGGCTCTAGCTGTCTGGTTTCTCTCTGGCCCCACAACTTTCTAGCTGTGCAAAGGTCCCTGTTCTCTCTTGCACTTTCAAGGTGGCTGGGGAGGGGGAGTGGCCCCCATCTGCCTCCTTGCTGTCCCTCCAGGCGGCTGGCTCTCCCCCACCTCTCCAAGTCCAAGGCCGGCCTGAGCTGGTCCCTCAGTCTCAGCGTGGTCATTTCCGGGCAGGGAGGCCTCCCTGCCGCCCGCTCCCCATCCCACCCTCTGGAGCTGGAGCTCCTGTTTGCTGCTGTATGCCGGGTGCCAGCACAGCAGGGCTTAGGATGTGCCTGACTGGTTGGTTGGTTGACTAAAGTATCTGGCTTGCGCTGGGCATTCAAAACTGGAGGCCCGGGCTTTGGAGGACAATGGGCATCCACCTAGCATCGCCTGATGACATCCATGGGCATTTAACTCGCCAGCTTCAGTCCCAGCCCCCTGTGGCGCAGGGCAGGAGTAAAGGGGACTAGAGGGAAATCGGACTGCACTGGACGCTGGGGAAGCACGTGGATCTCCAGGTAAGAGCTTTGTGAGTGACGCCAGGGACAGTCCAGGGCAGCTGGAGTATGGTTTGTAGATTACAGGTTTCCCCTGATTTCAGAAGCGTGTCCTTCCTCTGCCCCCAAGCTAGAAGAGGTGGCTCCGTGGTTGGGTAAACTACTTAAGCTTCCGAAGTGTCCAGCCTCCGTCTGTGAGCTGTGAGCACATTCCCAGTGGCCATTGACGAGAATTTAATGAGGCAAAGGCGTTAACCGAGGCCAGGCCAGAGTAAGTGCTCAATAAACCCGGCGGAGCAAAGTGGAGAAGTCCTCACTGGAGACAACGGACTCAGCTCTCAGACTGGGACCTGCCTCTCACCTTGCGAAGGAGGAGGCTACACAGCCCAGCTTCCTGGTGGTCCTGGCCTCCTTCCCGGCGCGGGCCCTTGGCCACTGCAAGGGATATGTCCTCCTAAAACCCAGACCCAGGCCTCGAAGGGGGCCTGGAAGGCTGGTACTCAAGGTTAGTGCTCCCACCGGGTCAGCCACTTCCTGCCAGCCCCGTCCCCCGTCCCAAGCCCTGGTTGTGTTTTCTCTTGTGCTAATTTCACAAAAGACACAACTCATCCTCCTGTTGATTGAACAGTTTTGTGCTGACAGGAGTGAAGATTTGTGGCTGAGCTCATCATTACCCCAGATCGTGGGCGATTTGTCTGGCTCCGAGGAGCCGGGCGAGGTGGATATATTTTATGGCACGCTCAGAAGACAAACATACGCATTTATATGTCACTTGTTGCAAATATAAATGCTAACTTGTACTTCTTTCAAAACTTTTAATGAATTGTATACATTCCGGAAGATTTATAGGGTGAACAGAATGGCTCAAAATGTTACTTTTAACATATTTGTCACTTTGGCAACAGCACCAAAAAAATCTGGAAGATACTGCATTCAGAAATAAATCATAAATAGATGCATCTTAAAAGAGGTTTATTTTGGTCGTTAATGGTTGATGGGCCCCCCAGTGCAGGATTTAAAGTTAAATTATGCAAAATCAAAAACAAACCTTATAATACTTAATCAAACATGCATAAAACTGTCAGGCCCAAATAAATTCTCTCAATTAACTTGCTTCAGCTTGTGATTGCATTCGCTAATTTAATCAGCCCCGGAATAATCTGGAGGCCGAGAAATGATGAATGACTGAGCACGCGCCACGGGGAGTCGGGGCGGAGTACCGGCCAGAGCGTGGCGGGACCCTGGGGGTTGGGGACCACGTTGTCCCTGTGGGCAGCTGTTCCCTCTTCCCCCTCACGGAGGTAGGGTCCATCAGCCAGGCACTCAGCTCAGATCCACATCAGCCTGCTGTCCTGGTAACATGGCTGCCTTTGCGGTGTCACCTGGATGAGCCACACTTGGAACCACCATCTGGAATGAATTCCACTTTGGTTTTGGCTCCAGAGGCCCCAGCGCTCACATCAGCTGCGGACGCCGGCTCTCTCTCGGTCTTTTCCAGAACAATGGGAACTGAAATCTGCTAGGAATGGTTCCGTTCCCACCATCTCCCCTCAGAGCCTGCCCATTCCTACCGCTGATTCTTGATCAAGTGAGGGTTTTGACATGAATGCATTTTGTCTTTCGGGAGGGCAATGACAGGAGGGCAGTGACAGGCAGACAGTCGGGCCAGGATGAACCTGGGCCCTGCACCTGGGCATGCGGGGAGAGGAGGTCGGCTCTCGGCTTAAGGCCTGGCCCCCGAGGTGGGCCCAGAGCTGAACTCACCCAGGGCACCCTGAGGTCAGGACCCAGTCATTTTTCTTCCGTCTGATTGAGGCTGTGCACCAGGTTTTGCTCAGCGCCTGTTGAAGACTGCCTCGTCCAGCAGGACCACCCAGACCCAATCAAGTCACCAATGGCCCAGACCTGCACAGGGTTTGTGCTTTAAGAGGGGAACTGAAGCTTTGTGGAGTATTTCGTTTCTTTTTGTAAAATTTGGTGACTCTATTTCAACCAGAACCAAATCTACTTATTGTGTAATTACAGCAGACAAGAAGGAAAGTCACAGAGAGAAAGAGAAACAGAGGGAGAGAGCAACAGAAGGAGAAAGAGAGACAGAGGGAGAAGGAGAGAGAGAGAGAGAGAGAGAGGGAGGG